TCTATCCTGGGGCTTTGGACAAAGGGCTTTGTTTGGTTGGTTGGTTTTTGTTGTTTTGTTTTTAATGTAAACATTCATGCAAGCCTTCAGAAATGCATCTTCCAGCTTTGGAGAGATATGAAAAAGAAGGAAGCTAATCACCACAGGGGCCAGAGACTAAAAATAAAAAGTAATTTAATCAGAATGAGACTGCTTCTACACTTCCCTCTAAGAGTGACCCATAGAGATCATGTCCTGTCCCCATCCATAGCTCCCATGTGTCTGAAATTGAAGCAAATCATGACCCTGCTCTTGTGCCAGTTCTGACAAACCAAAGACCTTCCAGGATTCAGAGGAGCGAGCTAGCCTTGGAAAACCCATGTCAAGACCTGTGAAGACCTGTGAAGACCTGTCAAGATGGGTAACCATGTTTCAGTTAGTCTTAGGAGGAAAAATGCTTGAAGATATGGCTCACTCAAGGCTACCCACTCTACAGACCCCCACACCTGGGCTCAGGAGCCTGGCTGAGCACTTCTGTCCACTCCGTCATCAATCACAGCAGCCAGTGGCCTAAAGGAAGCCACACTGATGTCCCTGAACAGTCATGTTGCTGAGAACAGCAAAAATTCTTAGTTGTTTTTGGCAAAGTTTTCTAAACTCAGTTTTCCCAAATCTTATTTTCAACATTAGGGCACTGTTTGATTTTATTCTTGGTCCCAAGGCTGTCTTTCCCTTGTCTGTTCATATCATTTTAAACCAACAAATCTCCAAGAAACTTCTCTAAGTAGCCTCTGGGGACTCTGGCTGAGTCCTTTGTTTCCTGCTTGTCAAGGCCATTTTGAATCAGTGTTACAGCCTCCCAAGTGAATTTCAGCGACTTTCCATTTTAGAGTTCCTGCCCAGAAGGTCACACTTATCTTTCCTCTCAGTGTTCTGAACTCTGCTTCTGGATAATTAAGGATACAGCCTACCCATAGCGTTCCCTGCTTGCTCAGTGGAGAGGAACTAGCTTATCAGGTCACTTTCTAAGCATTTAATTCAATCAAATGAAAACAATTATTTTTGAACATTTACTTTGCTACAAGTACTTGGCTATAAGGATCTCACTGAGTTGTGTGCAGGCATTTCAACTCAATGGGATAAATTACTCAAGTGGTGTGTGCAATAGTTAGCAGTAGTACAAAGGCAAGAGTGCACTGTGTCTGAGGATATTGACACACGCCGGGCAGCGGAGACAATAAAAGTGAACTAGGCCAATGAACTGAGAGAAGGACCTCCAGAAAGAACTACATCAGCAGACCCTGACAAGGCATGTTGTCATCATTTCACCTGCCACTCTTCCTTGCTAAGAATTAAAGTGAGCATAATTATCATGCTTTTTAGCTCTTTTACTTGTCTTTTAAAGCAACCCAGAATTGTTTCAAGTATTAAAATCATACAGAAATACATGATAAAAAATTAGAATCTTCTATAATCCCATCCCTCAGAGATATACTGTAATCTGGAATATATGTGGGTAGTTCTTTTTTTTTTTGCCCTATACAGGTACCACACTAGAATCATACTTATTCTTTTGCAACCTATTTCTTAGTCAGTACACATAATTAAATGTTTTATCCTAGGTCCCCATCCTCTGTATGGGCAGTATCCGATTGTTGGGACTGAGTATCAATATGGCACAGTAATTAAACATGGAAGCATTAGAATCAAATGAATCCAGCAATCCCACTTATATGTGATTTTGTGTAAGTTACTTAACTGCCCTCTGCCTCAGTTTCCCTAAAGTGTATTTTAAGGATCAAAATAATGCATTTCTACCTCAAATGATTACTTAAACTATTTAAAAATTTAATTTTTGTGAAACACTTTGACTAGTGCCTGACACACAGTGAGTCCTCCTCAAAATGCAAGCTCATTACCATAAGGTTTTTAACCACATCTCTACTGATAAAGTTTATGCTTTTTCCAATTTTTTATATGCTTTGGCTACTAAGCCCTTAGCCTCTATTACATTTGGGCTCCTGTTCTTACTAACTTACCAACACCCAACATTTGTTTCATGAGTAGTTAAATATATACTAATGTCAACTCCCCTTGGAGGCAGTGCACAACGGGATAGGTGGAGTCCAGTACAGTACCTTCCAGGCCAGACCCAAAGGGAATCCATTACAGGTTTTCTTTGTGCAGAGAGGCCATGCCAGGAAGCTGGAACCTGAGCACAGACTGGGAAAGAAGGCAGGAAGATTAGGAGCCCAGAGGTCAAGCAGTAGGTCAAACCTGAGGCCTGGGCTGGAAGGAAGCCAGAGAATAAGTGTAGACAGAAACATATGGGCAGAGATCTAAATTCTTTAGAAAAATAGCACAGCTCTCATCAACTAGTGGGTACAAATGAGGTTATGTTAATATTACTTCCAAAGTCACAGGGTTCTCTGTTCTGTGAGAAGCTCACTCACGAACTCTGCATCTAGCTCCCAAAGTCTCCTTGGGCCATTCCTGGGAGTCAGGGTCTGGTGGTATCCTCACCTGCTTCAGACAAATTCACTCAGGCTGGCTTGCCCTGACCTCTTTGTCAAGGTGACTCATCAGCCTCCACTGCCACTGCTGGGGACACTTTGAGATTCCTGCTGTTCCTCTGCCTCCCCTGCCCACCCCTGTACCAGGAGAGGGGTCTCCACTGTGGCCTGCAGCAAGGTATGTGCAGTGCAGACGTGAAGTCAGAGGAGAGACTGTCCTTCCAGATCTTCATCTAGAGCCAGCTATGAATTTAGCTCGTCTATTTCTCTCCCTAGTCCGAATCTCTGCTGAAGTTCAAAACTTGTCTCCCCAGATTGGGTGGGGGAAGGGAAAGGAAGACACAGAGCAGACACACACACACACACACACACACACCCTGCCCCGTGTGTTTCTGATTTATCTCTCTAATCACAAAGAGCAAATATTGACCAACCACTGAGGTAGATTGGATGTAAAGCTAATCCAATTCCCAGCTCCTTCTGCATCTATTCCTTTGCAGCCTCCATCCCCTTGAATCTAGGATGGCCTTTGATGGCTTTGCTCAGCTGGATGTGGATACCATAATGCTATAAAGGTTCCAAGTCGGCTGCTCAGGATACCTTGAGCTCTTCTACTCACCTTTTGGGTTCCTCAGCCAGCTATGCCTTGGGAACAGCCAGATTAGGCTGCTGACTAGTGAAAACTGGCCTCAACCAACAGCCAGCCACCTGCCCAGCAGAGCCCAGGAGAACTTCTGTGCCCAGTCCAGCCAGGATCAGCAGGTCTGCATTGATGACCTAGTCTCATGTGAGTGACCACAGAGGAGAGCTGAATAGCCACCAGCTACCACACAGATTTGTGAACAAATAAATTCTGCATCATTTGAAGCTACTAGCTTTTCTGTTGTTTCACAGCATTATTGTGACAAAAGACAAATGAAAACCATCTTTCTGACCTCTTTTTGCAGATTCAAAGACCCCTCCAAGAAGCTGAATAAACAACCAAACATTAAGTGTCAATTTGTATTCCCCCTGCTGCCCTTAACCAGTCTGTGAGAAGGACAGTAGGACAAGAAGGTATTTTAACCTAGCAGATGTCCAGAGATATAAAGGGATGCTAGTCAGCCTCTGGGAAAGGTGCAGAGGCGTAGAGCTGTAGGAATGTGATTTGACCTCGCACATCACAGTACACTTGGTATGATGCATTCTTTATGGAACTGGCAAGGGAAGCCAATTTTCCCATTTCATACTGAAAATTTTGAGACCAAAAAGCAGCAGTGAAAATGGAGCAGGAATCACAGCAAAGACACTGAGCTGCCCCAAGACTGGAACTCAAGTCCAGTCAAGTTTGTGTAAAATCACTGAGAATAGGGAAGGTCTCCAGTGGGAATGTGAGATGCCCTGTCTAATTCTAGTTTTGTCATCACCTCCAGTGATGAAGTTCCTCTAAACAAGCCAAGGAGAGAAAGCTGTATGTGAGGGTGGTTCCCAACTGATGATCCCTACTCTCCACTCTGGTTGCATGGCAAGTCATTTCACTCATCGTCCCCCCCATCTTCTACATTATTTGGGGGATTTTATATGGAGCCTGGACACCAGGGGCAGATGAATGGAGGTTATGCCAGCTAGCCAGGTGCAAACGGGAAGATTTTGAGCTCTGAAATGTTGGACTGGATTGAGTGGAGGAGCTGCTGTCAGGCTGGGGTCTTTTCCCTTCCTGCTTGCAAGTCAGAGTAAAGTTGCCCAAAGCCTTGCAAATGGCTGTCACAAGTCAATAGCCATTACTTGGAAATCTAAAGACTGATTGCTGGGACCACAGGTACAGAAAAGGCAAAAGGAAATAAATTGCTGATAGATGATTTCTAGTTCTGTCCACAATTTTAAATGAAATCAAAAGAGGCCAGTCACAGGCAAATCTGTCTTAAATAGAGAACTTAACTTCTGACCCAGTTAATCCAGGAATGACGGTTGAGTTAGGCCCTGAGAGGAGCCTCACGAATGGCTTGCTTCCTGAGAGTCTTTTCTGGACGTTTTATAGTTCTCCTTCTATTGACATAGGTCCTTTGTTGTTCAGTACCTAGCTCCAGGTGATTTAGGGAAAGGGGAATATTGCCTTGATATGTGATGGGAGTTTGGACTCTGGATTGGTTAAGTTGTGTATTAAAGATATACTTACAGGCAGGTTGGTTGCTATCTCTAGGAATTAACTAATCCTAAGAGAGGCAGTTCCTCCCTAGGTGCACATGAACCCCAAATCTCAAAGCAGCATAAAACACAGAAAATAAAGGCCATCATACTGGGCACCAGGATCACGGGGACACTTTAAAGACCCAGACCCTTTACTTAGCACTGCACCCTCTGAATGTCTGCAGACACCACTTACAATCTCATGCTGGCTTTCTTGACTCAGAGCCTTTCCTTGCTTTTTCAGGAAACAAACTGGATGAAAGTCCAGGGCTGGGACTTCCTCCTTGGTGTGTTTGACAAGGACTGACGTACTCTAGGCCCTTTGAGTCCCGGAAGTCCAGGACACACCCAACCTTGATTGCAGCATACAGAATACTGGAGAGTAGGTAAAAGGACAAAAGCAAAAAGCATTTCAACATGAGGGACCCACTGACAGATTGTTCGGTGAGTAACAGTGTAGTTTGGGTGTCCGCACGGTGGGGGAGGAGGTAGATTTATATATTAATGGATTTGAACTTTAGAAATTTGAGACGCTTAGAAATCAAATATATTTAGATATTGGCTGTGGTACAAAAGCCTGTGGTTTTTCTTTGGCTCAGTTTGAAACAGAGCCCTTTCTAAGAAATGACAGTAATTGTTATCTTTCATTCTCAAATTCGTGGAAAAAGTTTGAGTGAAGATATAGTATCATATTTGGATCCAGATGGTGGCTGTTTGGAAAACAGTCTTAGGACACGTACCAATGGTGCCAACATCAGGTGTGGGGTAGATACAAAAACACACAGAATGTCTGCCGCCACATTTTGGCTCTGAGAATGAAGTTGAGGGAAGAGAAGGCTTTGGCCTTTTTTTTCCCCCATATCTTTTAGAGTTAAGAATCCCCAGTCCTGCAGTCATTCTGTGTACCCTGCAGTGGTTCTAGGGTGTTTGTTTCAGTCCTGGGAGCATTACCACAAATAGAAGTTTGGCCAAAAGTCCAAAGTCATTAGCAGCAGTTGCAGAGATATTATTTAGGAATCACAAAGCTAAAATAAAGAGAAGATATATTTATTTAAAAAATAGTTGAGGATTTTCAGTGTCTTATCCCAATAAATGGTGTTGAAAAGCTAAAATTGGTGACATCAGAAGCAAGGGATTATAGTCTTTCGTGTGTTTATTTAAAAAAAAACTGAGAAGATCCAACATGGTCTTTAGTAAAGCCGTAGAAAAAGACCAACAGAGGATTACTGGTTTCATTTTTGCTTATTTCAAACAATAAGGAAAGACTAGACTTAGAAAAAAATGGAACTATGGATGCTATTCCACCAAATGAGTTTTAAAAATTAACCTAAATGACAGGAATTCATAAATGGCTAGCAAAATTAATAATGACAGTGTAGTAGGCAGCTCTGCCTAATTTTTTTTTTTTTAGTTTCTTCTAAGTTTTTTTTTCTTTTATTCATATGTGCATACAATGTTTGGGTCATTTCTCCCCCTCTGCCTAATTTTTTAAACATAAGACTAAGATGGGTTTAACATAAAAACAAATTCCAACAAGATGGTTATATATAGATGTTAAGAATGGTTAAGAATGAAACTGTCCCCCTTTCATCACCTCCACCTCAGTCTCCTCTCCATGGTGGTTATGGACAGCTTTTAAGATGTCTCTTCTTATTTATTTGTTTGTTTGTCTGTCCTTGAGTTTGCTCACATACTAAACTGTTATAACATCTCCCATCTCAACATTGATCCCTGGCAATACTTTTGTACTGTAACAGGGGTGGTAGGGAAAGACAGGGATGGAATAAATGGAGGCAAAACTTGACACTAAAGAAGAAAGTCAAGCTGGGATGTAGCTCAGTGGTACAGTACTTCTCTAGCATGCTCAAGGCCCTGGGTTTGAGCCCCAGCACAAGCAAAATTTAAAAGAAGAAGAAGAAAGTCAATGCCAAGAGAAGAGGGTCATAGAAGAGAGGGGAAATAAGGCAGGTTCAATTCAGTCTTTAAAAAAAAAAAGAAGAAAGGAAAAAGAACCAAAGGAATAATATCCTTTTGGTACGCAGGTCCTTCTCTCAGATCAGGACCTAGGAGAAATGTTTTCTCTTATGTAGTCCTCAAGGCACCCATCCCTTCGCCTGTGTAATAGTTTAAAGTCCTACTCCTAGAGGGTGCTAAGGTTCCTTGCCTTATTCTGAGCCATTGTTCTCAAGGACCCTTGTTGTTGTCCACAACTCTGAAGGTCATTTCTATGGGCCCATTGCCACTAAGGGTATCCAGGAGTCAAGAGGAGGCGGATATCCCCTCAGCCTGGGTTTCTAAACCCTCTAATGTCACAGAATATTTATTTATTTGTAATTGTTTCATCTTTATCAAGTGTTCAAATTTACTTCCTGGTACAATTCCAATTTGTACTTGGGGAACAATGCTCTGTGAAGATGAGGCTATAGTTTGGGAACATGATAAAAAACAAGGGCATGGATTACAAATCAATGCTTCACAAAATACTTCAGCAATTTTAGAAATAAAATCCCAAGAATTTAGCCACCTACAAAGTGCCCTATTCCATGTGCCCCTTGGGTCACACAGACATGTTTCATTGTCTTAGCTTATTTGTAGTTCTTAACTTAGTCCATACTAAGTTAATGGATTCATGTATGGGTCTCAGTGGATTACAGAAACTTCAGTGCAAAAAAAATCTCTACTTGTACTAATTTCTAACTGTAATTCAAAATTTCCTTCATTCTGAATTAAGGCAACAAATCTTAATACTACTAGCAGTGTCTGTGACTATGTAACCACCAAAAACCACAGCTATTTTCATAGAGCAGGGTTATTCTAGGTAAATATTGTTTATTATCAGCCTTAATTAGAAATTTGTAATTCTTAAGACTTGTTATTTATATGCTAATTAAAACACACAATAACACAATTTTAATATGTTTTTATAAAATGTAAGTCAACATAGTTTCCTTTGTAATCTTATGTTACTTAATTTTATATATTCAAAAATAATATTCTGAGTAAAACAGGTTTTACCAAGCTACTAAAGCAAGAACTGGTACAAAAACCTTAAAAAAAAAAATCTTTTAGGACATGCTCCAAAGAGAAAGGGGGCTGGTAGCTGGCCTCTTAAAGCTCAAAGAGCAAGGTCAGCATCCACTTTCAAATTATTGTCACCGGAGTAGTATAGATTGCCTAAATTCTGTGTAGGGCTTTCAAATAATCCTCAGAGTGTTGGGACTTACTTGAAGTGATTTTTTTAAGTTCTATATTTGAAAAAGAAAAGAATTGGCCCTGTGCCTTGATGCCTATGAACTTACCTTCTAAATCTAAAAATATGTCAAGGGAAATCATCCTCAAATCCATGTGCAAGAACATAGACAGGATCAAATTATTCCCACAAGGAAGACCCCAATCATAAAAAAGCCCATCTTCCTATGAAACAATGCCATAGAAATCAATGGTAAGTAACAAGCTGTGGCCACGTTTTTGCTTTTTATGTACTCACTCAGTATCCAGGTAGCAGCCTGTCAAATCCAGCCTCTAGTTCTGTCAGCCCCTTCCCTCGTGGTGTCAGATGTTGAAAGAGCACCAGACTGCTCCTCAGGATGCCAACCTGGTTCCAATGCCAGTCTGAACTTCCCATGTTGGCAGATCAGCCTGTGTAACAGATGTGACTGGCATTTACTCAGAATGTACCCTGCAATGTCCATGGTTCTTGAGAGAGTCTGTCCACCACAGAGATGGGAAAAGCAGGATAAGACTGGTACAGATGTCATGTGGTCCATTGCAACCCTAGTGTGTATCAATGAGATCTGTAGCATGCCACTCCACATTTCTTAGGCCTCTGTTTTCTCATCTGTAAAATAAGATGGGAGAATGAAGTAGACTATATTTTTTAATCCTCTGCACTATAATTTGTGATAGCCTGCCATAGAATTCCAAATATAAAGCAGGTGGGTAATAAATAAATACAGATAGTAGTGCTTAATTAGAGGGGTAGTGCTTTGAAATATCAAACCCCCACACAAGGAATCAGAATTCACATGAAATCAGCAGCACAGTACCTAGCATAGGAAAAGCATCCAGCAGAAACTTATTTAATTTTTTCTTTGATTTGGAATGTTTTTTTGAGACAGAGTCTTGCTATGACCTTAAAATTTGCTGTGTAGCCCAGACTGGCCTCAAACTCCAGATCCTCCTGCCTCAGTCTCCTGATTGGTACAATTATAGGGGTGTACCACCATGCTAGGTTTTTAAGTTTAAGTGGATATCATGGCTTAGTTAGCACTATGAAGATCACTATTATCAAAAATAAAATGTTCATATTAACATCTAGAATAAAAACAGATTTTTTTTCTAGAATAATTGCATTTAACCTTTTCAATCATTCATACTATGTGAAGTCAGAAAGAGCAGCTAGGACAAAATTCAATATAGGCATTTTATAAGGATACAAGTCATCTGTCTAATCATTTTGTAGACTGATTGCCTAGAGTACTAAATTCTTTTTCTTTTTTTTGTAATGGCAACAGAATTTGCTTACAAATGTTGGGCAGAAACATTTTCCCAAAGGAAATGCCTATGTACACCAGTATCTATGTAAGGAATTTTTTAGGGACTCAGAAATGTCCCAAATATTCTAGCACCAGCCTGGAATCTCTTTATGTGAGGAGAAAATTTTCCTAATGTATTTTATTAGTAATTAATGATTCCAGGAAAAGTAGTATGTTCATATGAATTCATATGGAGATGTAAAATCAATATTAGATTCTTTCCCAGAATGAATATTTGGTAGAGGATGGAGTGTTGGGAAGACACAATGGGTAAGAAAAGAACATCAAAAATTCACTTTCCATGTGACTTTGACCAGAACAAACCCTTGTTCTGCAGCTGGTTGATGACACTGAACGTCATCCGTGTTGCTCATAACAGGTTACCAAGCACTCTTAGTGTGATTATACCAATTAGCTTTTTATGAAAACATTTGGTTCTAAAGATTCTCTAATCGATTTGCTTACCTAACATTTCTAATCCCAACTTTGTCCCTATCTAATGAGGGCTATCATTAGATGTCTATCTAATCCTCAGCTCTTTGGCCTTTACTGTAAATAATGGCATTGAACTTCAGTGGTTTCCAAACTGTGGAACCCCTTCAGAGTCCTCTCTGGTCAGTGGGAGTAGGGAAGGAAGGAGACATGAGATATAAAGCAGGAGAGTCCAAGCCTATGGAGGGAATTTCACCCCTTCAAACCAGATATAGTAAGAGATTTTCTGAGCGCGCGCACGCACATACACACACACACACACACACACACACACACACACACACACATGCACAGTTGAGGGTCTCTGGCGTCTGCTTTGGTATTACTGTAACTCTGCTTTTCACAGTTTTTGGCAGAGAAGCACTGATTCTAAATGAGGAATTAGGCTGAGATAATGGTATTATTCTTAGGAACTCTTTGATTTATTGATGTCATCTTTATCTCAATATGGATCGGGGATGTTGGGGAGTTTCTAGCACCTTGTCCAAAGGGTCAAAGATAAAGATTTTCTCTTAGTGCTGTCATACTTGAATATCCATCTCTTATCTGATCATTAAATTAACAGAAATGTAATGTATTGAAAAACTTCCTGGTGTGTGTGCCTGGGTGCACTGGGGATCAGGGAGTTAATCCTTTACAAATCCCTCAGCCCTTTAAATCAGTAGAGGCTGAGGGGGCACAGCCATCAACCAGCTCTCCACTGGAACAACTTTGTCCACTTACCACTCTATTTTGATACAACAAATATTTTCTGAGTGCGCCATGATGTAAAAAAATTAGGATGTACTAGTCTATTAAATGACAGAGGGTCATCTTCCAAAATCTACACTGGGAAGCCCAAGGGTCAAGGGAAGTCATAAACTGCTCTCTGCTTGAGCAGCCCTTGCTTTCAAAATTGACTCTGAATGCTTCTGGGAGACAGGCACTCTTGACTTTGCCACAGGCAGCCGCTGAAGGCAATTGAGTTTTCAATCACTGGTTTATAAACCTATAGTATGGCCTGTCCTAAAATAAGTCCCCTGGAGACAGTACAAAATATGTGACTTAGGGAGTTTTAATGGTCTGATAAGTTTAAAACATCCCCTGCAGTCCCAGCACAGAAAAATTCTCAAAGATTTACTTATTTCCACTTTGGTTATGACAAGACTTTCCCTTGAGCCCCCATCCTCATGTTCCTCTTTAAGGTCCCCTGTCCTCTCCTCAGGACTGTTGTGTGCAGGCTGTCTGCAGGTGATGGTGGGCTAGAGCGGGGTGGGGGGATGGAGGGGCGACGGGGTGGGGGGACACCATTCCCTTAGGATGTTTCATCTCAAGGTTCTTTCCTTCCACTCCCAGTTCTCCTGATGGGGAGTTCTTTTCCTTGTTCCTATGCCAAAGGCTCAGTCTTCTGTCCTGTCTTCTCCCAGCTCTAGCCCCAGTCATATAGTGTTTGAGAACAAGAAAAATTCACTCTGCAAGCATGCATCCAAATCTTTCCTTTTTGTCCCATGGTTTCTTTGTAAGGTCTTGGTTTCTACTTTGCAATGGGGCTGGAGAAAGAAACAGATAGGATACATAAAAATGCATAGCTTAATACTAGGAGATACTTCTGAATAAATAAAATAAGAAAACCAAAAGATCTAAAAGAAAATCATAAAATATTATTGAACATGAAATAAGATTGGAACAAATGAAAAGACTTACAATGTGTTCTTGGATGGGAAGTCTAAATAACATTGAAAAACACATTTCTCATATGTATATGTAATACAATTCCAATTAGGATCCCAACAGGGATTTTTGAAAAAACTTTGTGATTAGATATATGTTCATATGGAAGAATAAATGCCCAAAAATAGCCAAAGAGTTTATGAGAAGGAAAAAAATAGTTGCTCAAAGAGAGAGCAGAAGTGCTAATACCTCTGTAACTTAGGTAGAGTATATATAATGTGTATTACTTCTGTGTCATTATTATTTTATGAAACATAAGACTGTGTCAGAGTTAGAAACACGTTAAATTGCATATTAGAAAAACCCTAAATAAGAAAGTCTTTTAAAAAACACACTGTGTTTCTATCATATGCAAAATAAGTTTAAAACAGAGAGCTGAGGGCTTATGTGTTGCCTCCACAGAGTCAGGGACCTGGACTCCTTCCTCTCTTTCTGCTCAATGATTTTAACCCAGTGTCAATACCAACTTATGGCAGTGCCCATCATTTCTAAGTCCTGGAGGCAGGAAATAGGAAGAAGGAACCTTCTATGAAACCCCACACAACACATTCTGCCACATGTCCATAGATAACATTTAGTCACACGTCTGCCTTTGTATGATGAGGGGGCTGAGAAATGACTTCATTCTGGAGATATGTACCCAGCTAAGCATTTCTGTATTTTCTTTTCCTGATACCAGAGTGTTTTGTGGGCTGCTCTTAGGCATTATGGGAAGAAAATAAAAGGCTGAGGAAGAACTTAGTGAAAATGATTAGGTCACGTAGGAACAAAAGTCGTTATTTACTATGACAAGCACTCCACCAACTCAGATGGTATCCTTCAGAATGTACTTTTGACTTTCCTGGGAACAAGAAAGGTGATAGCAAACCAGACTCCAAGTGTACTCCACTGATGATTTTTTTTCTATTTGGCCAAGGGGGGAAACAAATAAGCCAGCTTTATTTTTAAAAAGTTTTCTAGGATCTTTCAGAACCAGACAGAAGAGACTTAGTCTTCATTTTAAGAACTCATCCACAAAGGTGCACATCCCTGTAGCTGCACAGTCATTTATGATCATGGTCGCCATGACAACATCATTCCGAATTTATGGATGCTCTGTCTTTGGAAGTAGTCATAATCCTCCTGTTCACCTTTTTCTTTTTTCCAGTATAATAAAGTATACAAGAGCCTAAAGGAGTTTGCTCAAAATGGAGAGAATTTCTGCAAGCAGATCACATCTGTTCTTCAGCAAAGGTACAGAATGCACATTTGAGCTGGGCACTGGTGGCTCACACCTGTAATCCTAGCTACTCAGTAGGCAGAGATCTGGAGGATCGAAGTTCAAAGGCAGCCTGGGCAAAATAATTTGTGAGATCCTATCTCAAGAAAAACCCATCACGAAAAAGGGCTGGTGGAGTGGATCAAGGTGTAGGCCCTGGGTTCAAACCCCACTACCACAAAAAAAGAAAAAATGCACATTTGCAACCAACAGTACTGCCCCTGTAGTAGCAAGCAATATGATCAGAGGACTGATTACAAGCCATCCTGCTTTCTAGAACAGTGTTATATTTTGGTACTTCAGTGATTGGTTTGTAAAATGATCCTTCTCTATTGTAAATGTATCAACTGGGTACTATAAAAAAATCAAAGAATAACAGGAAGAAATTCCGCTTAGAAGACCCAATCAAATCTTTCCTGCTTCATTAGATGGACTTCATCACCCTCCAGGGACCCACTGTTCAGTCTGAGGTACGCACTCATGATGTACTTTTCACATTGATTGCAATTATTTGTTTACATTTTTGCCTTCCCTATAAAGGGCAGAGGCTGTGTTTTACCCAGTACAGAATGCTGGTCTTTTGATTTCTTCAGCAAATGTCTGATAAAAGGATGGATGGATGGATGGAATGACAAGCCAACATTTTCAGTATCATCTTCTCTAATACTAGGCATGATCGTGTGTTAAGCCGTTCACTGTGCTGAAATGTGTGCATTTGACTCAGTCAAGAAAGCAACAAAAAAATCTCTGCTTAAAATTAGAGTACCCCAGAACTCAGTTAGATCTTAAGGAGTCCTTCAGGCCTTCTCCCTACCTCTAAACAACTCTGTAATAAGCAACTCTAAAGACGTCTTTCATTCTGAAGAGATACTTTATTCTCCAGAGGGAAACCATTTCAACTTTAACACATTGTAGGGCTAAGGATATAGGTCAGTGGTGAAGCACATGCTAAGCAATTGTGAGATGCTGGGTTCAACCCCTAGCATTGCAAGAGGAAAAATATATATGTATGCGTATGTATACATAACCTATAAGAAAAAGATGCCATGTGTTCAATTATGTTCTGCATTCATAGGTCAAAACCAAAGGAGAATATTAGCTTCATCAGGACAATGAATGAGGTCAATGAAAGACTGAAAGAGCTCAAACAGGTCTTTTTGTTTGTTTGTTTGTTTTTGGCAGTACTGGGGTTTGATTTTAGGACCTCATGCTTGCTAGGCAGGTGCTCTACCACTCAAGCCACTCCACCATTTTTTTGTTAGCTATTTTTGAGAGAAAGTCTTCCTTTATGCTCAGGCCAGCCTAGACTATGATTCTGCCATTTGTGCTCCCCTCCATAGTTGGGATGACAGACAGGCACCACAACACCTAACCTCTGGTTGAGATGGCGGTCTCTGGAAATTTTTGCCTAGGCTGGCCTTGAACCACAATCTTCCCAATATTTACCTTCCAAGTAGTCTAACAGACTTTTGATTAAGTGGAAAGAAACATATTTATTAAATGGAGTAAAAAGATAGGGAAGGGTCTGTACACAGATTGGCTGTGTATATGATGAGTGCTGCAGCCATCTGGTCTTGATTATTTGTTGTGCAAAAGTTCAAAACTAGTGTCTGACAGAGAGCTATGAAGGTGGAAGGCAGGGAATTAATACATAAATACTATCCACTGCTAACCAGACTCAAGAGTGAACTGACAAGATCTGGCATTGTCACTGCTTGAAAACTGCCTTGTTGCTGTTTCCTTGTCTGGACCCCTCCACATCTCCACATTGCCACAATCACATCTACTCTCTCATAGAGTCAAAGTCTTGGAGTCTTACCTGTGTCTGTCCTGAAGTCTCTTCCTAGGGCCACTGTCTTCCCTGGACCTATTAATGGGTGAAACCCTCCACATACTTTCTAGATGGACAAATATGCCCAGTAAGGAAAAAACCCTTGAGTGGCTAAAGACTCCTTTCCTGATTTGACTTCCTTATGGAGCAGAATTTAGAACTGGAAAATTACAAATTCACAAGCATATATCTAGATAAGAACTGCACCGCATAAATGAAAAGAATGGATGTAATGTTTGACCAAGATCAAAAAAAGTGATGCTAGATATTTGGTCATTTATGGGATTGCTGCTTTCCTAAACATTTTGTAAAGCTAACCTGGTACAACTAAATCATCCTCCCTCACTAAGATGCCACTTTTGAGTACATAACTGATTCCTGATAAATGTGTATTTCTAATGTCCCCTCACACATAAAGTTTCTTCGCCTTGCTCAGCTATTTGATTTGGCAGCTAATCTGAGGAATGTTTGTTGACATGAAAGAAGACATTATTTCAGGGGAGTTGTTTTCTAATGAACACAAGTTCTATTAATCTATGAATATGTGTATTCTTAGGCCATATTCCTATGCATCTAAGCAAAGGCTGCGTCATTCCCTAAGGTCAGGTCATTTCTCTCCCAAGGGAGTGATTTGATCCTGAGGTCACTACCTTTTCTGCTGACTTAACACAGTAACTCACTCAACAAGGATGAGTGGTCACAGCATAGATGGCATGACACTTACCTTTACTCTCCCAGTCCTGTGAATTCAGATGTTACTTCCTAGTCACATATAAGAAAAAAGACTGGCACCTACCAGCTATCCAGAAATGGGCCTGGGACATATTTTCCTCTTAAATGTGTGGGCGTATTACATATAAATCAATCATACCTCTCCCTGATATTAGATAAATAAAGAAATACTCTTACTAGAAATTGTCCTCTTACTTACGGTTATAGTCAAGTAATGAGAGACCCCACAAGACAAGGAAAATGGTACTCTTGGAATACACACAGCAGACATTTCCAGTGATGTTATGGCATGGAAAATCATGAAGGCAAATACGGTGGCCGCCTAATGGTAGATACCATGGAGTCCACAGGGCTTCTTTGAATTAGCGGTATCTGCCTATGAAGTACATTAAGTAAATATTTGTAGGTGGATGAACAAGTATGCAAAAAGAGCATTTAGGGTTTATTCTTCACCATTACTATACCTACATTCTCAGAACAAGGTCTTACATTTCCAGACTCCTTGCCTAGCAGTGTATTGGAATGTGGTTCTGCTCAGCAGAGCTCTGTGTTAGCAGGTAGACCTGAGGGAATATCACATTCGAGTTGCACATTCAGGTACTGGTTCCTTTCCAAGCTCAGCTGCCTTCTTCCATTCATCCTAACTGAAGGTGATAGAAAAGTGCAGCTGTTCCTGAAACACCATTTTTCCTGGATAGTCTGTGATGCACAGTCGCACTTAGCTTCTTTTATCCAGTTAGTTACTTTGATTTCCCTTTTTTGCAGAAGCAAGCTCAGATTCCTCCATAGACATAAAGAAATTCCTACTGTGCCTAATGCTGAGGTCCTCAGGTTCACTTTAGAGCAATTACAGACCAGATTTAAAGAGACAGAGGCACATTCCCAAATGCTATTTGTGAGTGTTTGGCTCTCTGCACCATCATACCTAATGTTTAAACAGGCTTTGACGGGGAAATCAATTGTTCTCTGAATGGAAGCTCAGGTTTTCAAATGGCAAGAACTACTGCATGGACATTCAAAACAGAAAAAGGAATAAAGAGTAAAGAAGGTGGAGCTGGCCATTTTTTTCCATCCATGATCCATGGCAGACATTGTCAAAAGTAATAAACATGGAAATAAGATCTCTGATAAATCCTCACCTTTTCTACTCTGCTCCTTATTCTGGGTGATCTTAACTCCTTAGCTTCAGCTCCCTTGATTATTGAGAAATTCCAAATATATGTTACCAGGAACATGTCTTAGCTGTGTTTCAAGCCATATATTTTGAAAAATATTGGGTGTTCCCTTCCTCCTAGATGTTTCTTAGAAGCATAAAGTCAACATGCCTACAACACAGTTTCTCAGCTTTTCTCCAAAGTGGGTATTCCTTCTAGATTTTTACCATGGTGAGTAGGACCACTGCTCATCTAGTCTAGCCTGGTCCCCAGAAACTGCCTACACCCACAATTCCTTTTATCCAAACTCGCAGCCCTGACTTCATATCTCTCTCTTCTAAATTCCTTCTATATCTATATCCTTTCTTTCCATTTTGTGTCCTCCTCCATTGTTCTGGCAAAACTCCTTCAAACTGGTTTTCTGTCTCAGATTACTGTTCTGTAGCTGTGCTGTTTGTACACTGCACAAAGGCACCTGGCTGAGCAGGATAAGTGGAACAAAAATCTAATCTATTCTTGCCATTTGCATCTTGAACACTAGCTCAGAGATGTGTTCCTTCACAGGACCTCCTTTTTCTTCCTCCCTCCCTCCCTCCCTCCCTCCCTCCCTCCCTCCTCCTCCCTCCCTCCCTTCCTCCCTCCTCCCTTCCTCTTTCCCTCCCTCCCTTCCTCTTTCCCTCTTCCTCCCTCCCTCCCTTCTTTCCCTTTCTTTTTTTATTAGTATAAAGTAATTGTACAAAGGAGTTTTGTTTGAAGTTGCTAATGATTCTAATCAGAAGGTCTTGGCTCTGACAAGGAAGAGTCCAAGCAGAACACTTAGATGTAGCAAGGGGAATAACAGAGTTTTATTATAAGGGGGAAGGAGATTGCAGGAGAGGTCTCTGCCAGGTGGAATGGAGTCAAGGTGCTGTGTGCAGGAAAAAAAGGGAAAGATCCTACTTTAGGTCATTTTATATCATCCTTAACTTGGAAGTGGGGAAAAAAAAATCTGTGTCACTCCCTGTCTCCAATGATCTTTGGGCCAAGGGAAAGATTTGGAATTCTCAGGTGCCCTAAATCCATGCGGGAAATTTCCACTTCAATTTAACAAAGGATTTACAATTGAAATGGAGCTCTCTGGGCTCAGAGGGAAGAGGTCAGAAAGGGAGATCAAGGTGCTCTAAAAAGTCCCAAATTTTCCTTAATGTTCAGCCTGCCTGATTTCATTCTGATAGTTCCATACACACATATGATGTACCTTGATCAAATTCACTCCATT